CTACACTTAGAAGGTTATTCCAAAAAAGCTATCAAAAGGCTGTTAACTGAATATTGCCCCTTCAGCCCTCCTCTGCTTTCCATCCAACTTTGAGCACTTGCTCCAGAGTAAGAACTCTGCAAACTTCGCGTCAAAACTCTACACTACTACCACCAAACACAAGACAACATCGCGTAACAAGATATGCACTGGATTTTGTTCCAATATCTGACTATCACTGACCTGTTGTATGACAAAAACCACGTAACTCCTCTTCTCCGCACCTTCATTTTCCTGTCCAGCCATTTGTTTGACTGTTTTTTGTAGAAGTTGTTCAGGCTTGTCTACCCATCTTGCATCTGGTCCATACTGTATCAAGAATATACTAACACCCTTCGCTTTAAGTTCTCCTGTTTCCCTTAAGTTCTCCTCTGTTTTATGGCAAGAATACAACAATTACTTGCCATAATTATTAACATGGGGCATACAGCAATCTTGCCAAGACAGGCTATGTTTAGAGCTGCTCAGTCAACCATTGACAAGCTTAGTTGAGCGTACAACAACAAAACAGAAGTCCATTTAAAACTCAGACCCTTATAAAACCATAGTCTACAGGCCAATTTTCAAGTGACCTGTTTTTTTCTACTACGTATCTCATCTTCATAGCATCTTGCACAAAGATCTTGATCATATTGTGTCTTTTACAGCCAGGTGCACAAGATCATGTCTGAAAAAATAATTACTATTTTTTCTTTTATTTAATACTGCATGAACAACTCTTTGCCATAGACTGTTCTGTAGCAAGGTCTACACGTATTCTTTTTGTTCTTCTGTATTTGCTATGGGCCCCATTGCGGAAAACTATCCTCCCTCATATCCTTTTGGCATGGAAACTCTAACAAAATCACAAGCATTCCAAAAATGAGTAATTTTCATTTCTAAAAAATGGGCAACAAACCATTTTAAAGATTCAAGATTTCCAACTAATATTACAGTTCTCTCATTTTATCTTCTCCATTTCCAAAATGTACAGTCGCTGTTTTCCTGCTGTAGTCTGAGACTGAAAATGCAAACGAGATGCCACATGTTTACCCTGATACTACAAGTGTTTTTGGAGAAAAATGCAGATTTTAAAAGTGTGCGATTTTACTCAGAAAAACTACAAAACAGGTGAACAAAAGTATAAAAGGGATCTGCAAGTGATAATCTTAGATTCCAGCCCATCCACCATATCAGCAGAAATAAGAACCACACTTCCCTTTCTCTGTGTCTCTCCCCTAAATTTCCCCTTCAAACCCTGAGCACTATCTGCCTTGAGCCTCTTGGGAAAATGAGGGTACCACACCTGAATGCACAGGCTTTGCTGTCTGCACTCCAAGTTTGGTGGGATTGGGCTAGAGGCTGGAGGAGAAGGAAGAGAGAGCTAGGAGCAAGGAAGAAGATAAGAAGGGGGAAATGCAAAGCAGCTCTGATGCAAAGCTGTTGTGCTAACAGCCAGGCTTACCACAGTAGCCCCTACGTAGCACTTTCACAGCAGAGCTTGCTAACAGCTTGAAGCACAGGCAGAGCAAAC